TCTGAAAGATCTGACTTTTCTATCGCGCAGCAAAAAAAGTTGAATACGACATGAACGAACCCTTGTATTGACCGTGACACCAGCTGGGCGATCGAATTGTCCTGAACGAGTTCCACCACAACCGAATTTGGCAAGGAAACCACCATCCCGATCAAAAATCTGAAATATAGACGTGAAACACCTTCTTATAGTTGAACTGCTTATTACCAACCTGGATACGATTATTGCTTCGATCTGCTACAAGCACTCGACCACGCAAATCAACGCAAATTCCCCACGGACGGCAGAGTTCGCCATCTGCGGATCCTGTAATAAGAACTTGCTCAGAAACAGAGAAATGATCGAAACATTGAGCTCAGAAAACGAAATAACCCTCATGGTTGCTGTTCACAGAATCAGAGATTTCAGCTTTGAACGAAATTATTGAAACGTAGCAAGCACTCTATTAAGCTTACACAGATATTTGTTTGATACAGTTTACATTCAATAGATAAGGTCTGTTGAGAGGCCCTGAACATAATAAACATTTTCCCTGCCCGACGCACCTTCCTTTCCAAATGAGAACAATTCTCCTTGAGCAGCAATTTCAGCATAATTACGTCCATGGCGTACATCTACTACAGCTGGACAACCGCTAAAAGAAAATGTGATTAACAGCTATTAGAATGATGACATTACAGAAGAACTAAACATTTTCCTGCTATATACCAAAACATTGTAATGATTTGTTGTGAATGATATAAACAAGTTGTTTGTTTCGTGATCTTCACTTAGACTACCGGCTATATAAGCATCGGTCGGTAGGTTAGACCTTGGAGAGAGACGTCTCCAGCATTCAATAAATCTTCACCTACTCCGGCTGCACTACACACCAGACAGAGGACACTACATGATAGTAAAAAAAATGAGGGATGTGTAAGCTCATTATAACAACATTACCATTTTGAAGCGTTTCATACCGTGTAAAGCAAGTACCACACAATAAAGATCAAAAACAAATTAGCTAAATTAAATTCTGCTTAGCAGAGTTAGCGCTGGCAGTATAGCACTTGCGTTGATCAACTTGATATTTATTCTTTAACCCTATTGTTTTCGGTATAATGAACCTCTCTCTACAATGGAGTTTCTGTGCAGGACGTAGAGAACTGCACGAGTAATTGATAAAAATGCTTCCAATTCACCTAACCTTATAGATACCCCTCGAATTCGTATGTCTAGTTGATGCTGACCATCAAGTACTGGGTAATAAGCGATGCCAATCACGCCTGGGTCACTTTCGCTGCGCCTGAAAATGATACGATTTGTTAGAAAAAAGAGAATGACCCTCGCAAGGTCACACAAACCCAATGTGAACTTCAAGACTGCGCCCATCAGGTGCGATCACTGTTGCGGTAATATCTCGAACGCCACCATCAGCTCGGTCGGTCGGCACTACCTCACCGCATGCATCACGTAGTTGCACATAAACGATGCATTGGCGCTCGCGGATGGGTCTGAACAAATGGGATAGGATAAATGAATCTTGTTAAATAGATGACAAACTGTCGTTTCGATTAATCTGATAACAGTAGGCAACCTTTTATATCCTTCGCCAACCAAATGGCACTGACGAGCACATGGCCCACTTTCGAGTTCACCCAGAGTTCGAATTCTGAAATGAAACTGTCATCATGGCCGGACAGTGGAAGTGAAGTTTATCAGGTTGAAATCTTACTGTGAGAGAAGCTGGTTGTCAGGAACGGTGAACTTAACAGCATCATTCTCGTGCGGAATCAGATGGATAGGCTGTGCGTATAGCTGCAAATCAAAGTCTGATCAAGAGCCAGTTTACCACAGCCAATTCACCACATTATGATATTTCAACTGTTACGCAGTGATCCGATGGGAGGAAGGAAGAAATATATAACCTGCAGTAGGTCTTGGAAAGCGTTTGCGAGTTGAGAGTTATCATCTTCAGAAGTGATTGCCTCCACCGACTTGATAGTCTGAAAAAGTCACAATTCATAATACAAAATAATCCGAGAGTCAACTATAGCAATTTTGACTGCAATATGTATATTCCTTTCTCATTCGGGGTAAAAACGAATCGAAGCCAAGGATCGTAGAAAACACAACACAACCTTTTTCAAATAAGTAACTTTGATTCACTGCATCACAGTTAAAAACTTCTCAAACACAGATTATATGAGGTTATTTACCTGCGCAAACTTTGCTTTCGCTGCATTCAAATTTTCTGCTTGAGCTTTCAAATTTTTTGTTTTGGATTGTCTGATAGTATCCACTCTCTGCAACAATTCTCTCTTCCTCTCCTCCAAAGCACTCATATGTAGGTGTATAAGCGACCGTAGTTCCGATGCAGCTGCCTGCAAGCAACCAAAATTCCCCTTAGAAAGCTTGGTAAAATGACGAAGTCTCCGACATACCTGTACACTAGCGTCGACCCGTTCAGACATCGTGCGCACGCTTTCCACAGCCTCCTCAATACTGCGTTCGTTACGACGCGATTCCGCAAGCATCGAAACCACACACGCTCTCACATCGCCTGAAGGACAACGTGAGAAAAAACTTCGTATTTCGTTTGAATGGGTCGCTTTACTCTCCACTGCAGCAATCGGTATACACTCGCTTGCCACCAAGGACCGTCTGCAGCAGCACCCCACCAGGAATAATTCTCTTCCCCGTCCTTCCAGAGCGGTCACAAATCCGCTTCTCTGG